GAATTACATTTTAGAGGAATAGTTAGCGCATTAATCAAACTAAAAATTACCAAAAGAGAAATATTCTATATTTTGTCATTTTAATTGATAGCAAAAGCTCCGCAATTGATGCAATGAATAATAAGAATACAAAGTTTAAGGAATATTTAAGAATAAAATAACTGCTATGAAACTAACAAATCAGAATTTTCTTCTAAAATAAAGGTGTTGACAAAACGAAATTATGCACTTCTGATTTTCAAAGAACTGAAAATAGTTTTAGCAAAGAATAAATGAAAACAGATGATCATAATGGTCGTAATAAATTTATTAACAAGAAAGTTTATTATTAAGAAATGCCGAACAAAGTAGTTAATCTCGGAAATATCCACATCCCTGCATGTGTTCAATGTAGTTATGGTTTTTTGTGTTGCGGTCGAAGGCTTCTAAAAACATTTACTTTAAAAATACATAATGTGTTTATATGTGTTAATGGAGTTAAATTATAATTACATGCTAACAAGTAATGATAAATTTCATTATTTAAAAACATTTTATTATCAGAAAAATAATCGTTATATAACATGCAAGGTTTCAGTTTTATAAATAACATCTTTATGTATATAACGTAGTAAACTCTAAGTATATAGTGGTTCTGAAATCCACGAATAAAGGAACACTGTAAAACTTCTTTATTTCTAGGAAGTATCCGGAAAAGAACCGGATGCAGACACTATGACGTTCAGTCTTGTAAACATTGGCACATTTGGTATTGTTAGTTTATTTTACCATTACAACAATGTAAAATTGTTACTTTAACGTGATTTTTGTGATAATGTTGTTTTTTGCATATTTGCATTTGTTTATTTTTCTTTTCTTCTCACGAATCTTTTAAGAGAATAGTTAGAAAGAAACACTTTGCTCAAATCGATGATCTTGCCTCGTTCGCGTGATCAGTAGACGTTTCCGGTAAGCATCTTTCTTAACTTCCTGTCTGCAACCAACAGAGTGGTCTTACGTATATGGATAAAGTCGAGGAAAGAAGAAAAAAGAGGCGATCTTGTTCATAATAAAATTTTCAGGATTATTGTAAAACCGAAGATATATGTACGTATCTAAACAAGAAATTACACTAAACTTTGTAAAAATAACGATCAAATATAACATTGAAAACCAGGAGAACAGGAAAAAGGAACAATAAACGGATGAAGCGATCGATTTCCTATGTGTATTACCGATAGTTCAATTTAGTGACATTTTCCTACTGCCTGTGATTAAGAGCCTTGAAGTTCCTCTAAAATGTAATTCTTAGTTTGATTAATGCGCTAACTATTCCTCTAAAATCAAAGTCTACTGAAATGTAAAATATTATGTAAAAACTGGTATATTTTATATAATAAGTAAAAACTAATACATCTTATAGATAGGGTTATTTTTAATAAATAAAATATGGCATCTTTAAAAGAAAGAAACAAATTGTGTTTAACTTCCTCAGAGGATATTAGAAAATTTCATATTTTAAGTTTTTAGCCAACTTTATATTTCGAAATTAACTTTTAATATATTTCTCCAACCTTAGACTAAGAATAGTTCCACTTCGACTAATAAGAATAACTCTCCCTCGAGCTCAGCGTTGCTATGCTACAGACTCAAAGCCATTTTGCCTACATTTAAAGCAATTCTGCTTTAGGTTAACAGTATATGTGTTCACACGAAAAATAACTATGCCTAAAGCGCAGTATAGTTTGGTTAAGATTCAGCACAATTATGTTTAAACTAGGAATAACTCTGTTTCAGTGTCACAGTAATTCTTAGTTAAAGTATAACTGTGCTTCAGGTTCAACGCAACCTTGAATCAGACTCGGGACAATTTTGTTTAGACTAGGAATGACTCTTAGTTGCACAGTTATTTTGCTTAGTTAAAGTATAACTGTGCTTCAGGTTCAACGTAGCTTGGAATCAGATTCGGGACAATTTTGTTTAGACTAGGAATGACTTTGTTTTAGTTATAGTCTATCTGTGCTTCAATCTGTATCTTACTTTATTGAAGATTAAATGCTCATTACTCACAATGTCCCAATCTTTCACTCCAATTATACTATCCATAGCTGTAGTGTACTTTGGAATAACTGAGTGGGATATCAGTCCCCTAAAGTCATCAAGTTATTAATTCTTAGTTTAATTATTTTCCATATATTGGTAGCAGTTCGATAAAATTAAATATATTTATCAATTTGTATTTAATATCTGGCTGCTTAATATGATGTCCAAGAATTAAAATGTTTGT